AGATAGAAAAACTTCAAGAATAAAACAATTTCAAGGCATTGATGGTTTGATTGTGAATCTTTCATATATGAAATTAGAAAACTGTTTCAAAAACTTTTGACTGCAGAGCAAAATCTCAATCTAAATATAAAATGATATGCAAAAGTCTGAAACTTCAGGTCCCGGGATCATGAAGCATCTTAAGCTTAAGTCGAAAAATGCCTTAGATGCTGATATTTTTTAGAGGTCAAGCAGCCCAAAATGAAAATGCTTTCCGATTTTGTATCATCAGTCTGCTGTTGTATGCAAATCATGAGTTTCCTTTAACAAGTTTTAAAGATTTTATAGATAATTGAAATTTTGACTTAAGTCTAAGTCTGTTTCATGATCCCGGGGCCAGGGGTCTCAAAAAGAAGGGAATCTCTCCTCTTCCCAATTAAATCTTACTAACCTAGGTTTACTGGCAGAAAATCATGTGGGTGCTGTCAAAAAGAAAAGAAAAGAAATCATAATAATATATATATAAAAAAATGTTTAAGGTAATTCCAAAAATGATGTTTTTCTTAAATATATTCCATTGATTTCCAAACAGACGTTCTCTTGTAATTTTAAGTGTACCACAATGGCACATTATAAATGGACTTACCTTAAACTGGGGCCTAGATCCTTTATCAAACAGCCCTGATGGGAGAAGGTATTGTATGGCCTCCTGTAAATTTGGAGAAAATCCATTCAAAATACTTAATATGAATGGTATGCTATAGTTTTAAACTTTTGTTTTTTTTCCTAAAAATGTCATTTAATAAATGGGGCTAGACATACAATTGAAAACTGCATAGTTAGAAGAAAATACATGTATAACCTTTTAGCATTTAATGTACATGTATATACTATTTACTTCAACAAATTTCTTGCTTGTTTTATATGTCAGACTTTTTTCAAGACAGTTAGTTTATATGCGTAAATTGCATTTTTTTTCTGAATTGCTCAACACTAGTTAGAATAATCTAGCTGTGGATTGGGACAAGCACTCACCACAGTTAAAACAGTTCCGTAGGATGATATCATTTTAACAATATCATGTTCTTTCTAGCTCAATGCATGTACATGTAAGATGCTTAAGAAAATCCAAATAATTATATAAAATTTCCATAGAAAAAATGAAAATTAATGTTTAGACGTTACTTACATTTATGTGTTCTTTTGTCATTTCATCTGGGTGTATCCCCATCATATTGGCTAAATGTTTACGTCCAAGTTCATACTCCTCTGTATACTGACTGACCTTCACCTCTATAAGAAAAAAGTTCTATGTATGCATTTGAATCTTATTCTAGGCACCTGCTGCATTGCGAATTGTCAATCGTAATATTAGTTCATGTTTTTTTCAATATAATAATAATTCTTTTAAGACTGGCCATCCCAGGCCTATGCATGAATACTGATAAATCATGTAGCTTCAGAATGTTTAAAAATGTTCAGACAAAATAGCCTTAGTTAACCTATTTATTCAGAAATATGTACAACAAATATTCTGCACTATTTTATAATTTGGTTTGCAAGTATCTAAAATCAATTCAAGAACGCTGCCTCCAATTGAAGGCAGTGAATTTCCAGTTTTCATGATGGCACCGGTTCTGATGTTTTCATGGCACTTAACATTATAAATCGTAAGAAAAGCTTCGAAAAACGTCAGATACGTGTATTTTGGACAACTGTTCACTACATTATTTTTTTTCCAGTAAAATTGCTGATTAACAGCTATAAAGCAGCATTTCCAATTTATCAATTTTTTTGTACTGATCATATACAAATCAATCAGCATGTAAGCTTGTGTAAAATCTCACCATGTTCTTTGGCCTTCCTGAGAAATGCTTTCATTGCTGTACTTATCTGCTCAGAACGTCTCTGTACCTTTGTACTTGAACTGTCAACACTGACAGAGTCATTGCTTAATGTTCTTGTGAAATATTTATGTGCGGTAGGCTGTAAAATCAAACAGTCTCATTAAAAAAAAAATATATGCACCTATACGAATGAGGAAATTCGAAATAAGGTCATGTCTTGTTATTGTTACTTTTTCTTTTAATAAGACGAAATAATTCTAGATTCATATAAAACGGAAATCATGCTCTTACTGTCGATACTCTGTGGCCATTCATGTGTCTTAATTTTCTCCCTGCAAACCTAGCTGCGATTGACAGTGGTTGCATGGACGCGGCCATTTTCTTCGGCGTACAGGTACTTGTCAGCTCGTACATAGACTTAGTCTTAATATATATATCCAATCTTGGTATCTAGTAGAAAAGCCAAAACAGTATTTCAATTAATTAGATTATTCAGAAAAAGTTGAGCATACATGTGTAGGCTCTTTTAATTACAAGATTAAAAATTTACTTTTTAAAAAATATTTTTTTCTGAATGTTATTTACAAAACTAAAAATCGCATAAGTAGCACGTACCCAGACATCACTATTAATATAGGACGATGGAGTTCCTTATTGATACTATAGATATTTATTACACATATTCTTCATGTGTACAATATGAAAAAATCATCAAAACCCCAAAATAATCGCTCCACAATTTTTTTTTTTTTTTTTTTTTTTTTTGTGGAGAGATTATTTTGGGGTTTTGACGATTGTTTTCATATTGTATACATGATGAATAAGTATAATAAATATAATTTGTGAAATAAATGTTCAATAAGCCCCGGGGTTTAATATCGGGGGAGGGGGGTGTTCCTGTCCACATGTACAGGTCTGTGGGCTAAGCCTAGCCATCTCCCAATATCTGCTTCAGTTCCTCCGGTCCATTATCATGATTATTCTGCAAAATACTTTAGATGGGACTGATTTTTGTGATATTCCTCTATAGCTGTCACATATTGTCAGATCTCCTTTCTTAGGTATTTTGACAATGAGCGATCTCTTCCAGTCTGTTGGTATTTCTTGCTCACTGATGATTCTGTTGAATAAATTTGTTAGCTCTGATGTTGAATATGCTACGCTCTCCTTTAGTAGCTCCGCATTGATGTTATCTATGTCAGGACTCCTTCTTTCCATTCTTCAGTGTTTGGATTGTCTTTTTAAACTCCTCCTCTCTTATTGATGATGTGTTAATTTCATTAATTTTGTTCTATTGAATGGTGCATCCTTCGGGTAATTCTGGTTTTTTTCTGTTGGGACATTAAAGACTTTTTCAAAATGCTCTTTCCATCTCTCCAACATTTTTCCATCCTCATTGATTGGCTCACATGATTCTTGGACCTTATGCCACTTGTCCTGTTTCTTTTTTTTCCCGCAAAACTGCTTGGTAAGTTGGTTAACTTTGCTCAGACGGTTTGTATTTTCTGCATTCTCTGCTTGGTTACCTATATCTTCCAGATTTTTCCTTTAATCAGCTCTTACTCTTCTTTTCACTTCTTTGTCTTTGGTCTTATAATCTTCTCTCTTAATTTCCTTTATTCTCTCCGAGTTTGATCATCCTATTTCTTCCTTTAGTTTTCTTCTTTCATCTATGGCTCTGTATGTTTCTGCAGGAAGCCAGTATTTGTGTTTCCTTTTCTTTTGACCCAGCAGGATCCTTTCTGCTGTTTCATTATATGCTTCTTTCCATTTTCATTGATTGTGTTTTCGTCATCAGCCAGTTGCTGAGATGCTGAGACTTATTTCTTAATTCAAGTTGGAATCCTTTGCTTATTATTGGATCTTTCAGCTTGTTGATATAAATATACATCTTTTTACTTTTCTTTTGCTTAAAGTTTCTGCAGAGCTGCTCCATCTTTACTTTAGCCAGTACCTTTACATCATATGCAGACTTCTTGTATCTGCCATTCACCATTTCATGGTAAATTTGGTTCCTAGCTCTTCCATTGGGTGACTCCCATGTAAGCGTGTGTATTTCAAGGTGCTTAAAGAGAGTTCCGCAGATGACTAAGTTATTAAGAGCACACATTTCGGCGAACCCCATGCTGTTTTCATTTATGTCCCATTTAACCCCTCATTTGGTCGTACTTTGACTGACAGGAGATGATTACTCCTTATATGCACCTGATTCCATCTCTGGAATTTCCAGGGCTCTGTTCTTAACATGTTTAATGCCATGTTCACAAATAAGTATTATTTGTAGGTTTATATATATCGTTTTTTTTTCCAGATATGATATTCATATGACAAGTTTTTTTTTTTTCCGTCTTGATGATATCTTGCTTTTTTTTTCTAACCTCACAAAAAATGCATATATCTTGCCTATGTTGGAAGGGACTGACTCAGTCACTAGGTAGGATATGTATTGATGAGGATCTTAAATTTATTTTTGTTTTCATTTTGGTTAAGCTTTATCTTTCTGAATTTTTAAGTTTCTAAGCTATTTTATTCGGTTTATTTTTCTAATATTAATACAATTAGTGCTTTTTAATGTGATTATATGTGTTAAAATTAAATGTGCTTAATCTAATTTGATTTTATTATGATGTTTATTTATTTATTAATTTTTTCTTTATTCTTTTTCTTTTATTTTTGTTCTTCTTAATGCAATCATTCTGCTTTTCAAGTTTCTGTTTTTTTTTCTCTAAACTAAATTGTTTTATTTTCCATTAGTGTGTGTATATATGTACATGTGTTTCTGCATGTTAATTTATGTTGTAAATGTTTTCTATGTGATATTTTTAACTGTGATAGTAGGCTTAAGAGCTCTACAGAGCTCGTGTTTATTGTTATACTATATAAAAGGCCGACTTTAAATAGAATTTACTTACTTACTTGCTTACTTACCTAGAAACTTTTCTTTTAAAAATACATGCACATCACTCTGAGAATTCTCAAACCCTTGCGCAAATTTAAACCGAGCCGTGCATTGACCCCGACCGTCTTCGTCATAATGATAATAAAATAAAAAGTATTTACAAGAATATCTTCTCCTTTACCCCAAATTAAGGTCATGCATTCATTTATTGTGTTGGGGGTACCTAAATAACAGGCACAGGTAAAATTTTATCACGTATATTCATTGATATAGAAGGTCGCAAGCTTTAAGACTTTTAAATTCGGTTAACACAATAACAATTCTCACGTTTTCAAACATAACTTAAAAATAACCACCCGGAACAGTGTCAAAAATGAGGAGAACAATGTACAAATATGGAGTTCTTATTCTCAACTTTCTTCTTATTCATGGTAAGTTAATTGAAATGCTAGGTACATGTATGTATACATAGTATGTACATGTAGTAATAAAGTAAACGTCTTGGTCAAGGAAAGATGTATATGGGAATTGATTATCTCTTATCAAACTGATCGACTTCTAAAGGTGGTATTTCCTGAAGTCACGGGTACTATACCTTTTGGCCATTTGAAGGTCTTGAGGAAAAAATAATTAATATTTTCTTGGAATATTAATCAGTTTTGATTAGGAGGATATGTGCCTAAAGAAAAAGAAATTGTGTAGTGAAAATAAAACTGCGAAGGATACTATAATCAATGGATTTTTAATGGTAATGTCCATATTTGTAAATGTGACCATAAACTGGAAATGTGTAAACATGTATATAAAATTTTGAACCCACAAAACATTCACATTATCGAACCTCGAAGAATTTTTACCATGTTGACTGTCTCATTTTTTAATGTTTCAGTATGGCATGGAGGAAGTTAGTTAACAACACATTTTGGTTGAGTTGTAGAATTTCTTTTTATAATTCACATGATTCAGCAAGATGTTTTCATTCCTTCATGAAGCAGTAGCCGATACCGCCAAGGAACAGAAAGAGGATTAATTTTAATTTTTTGCAACTCTGAATTAATATTTTCTATGTTCCAGAAGTAAACATTTACATGTAGTAGTGATATTTACTCTCAGGAGGTTTGATTAACAATTAAAACCTTTGTCCAGCCTTAAATCTCAAGATTTTCTATTATAGTCAGTTTATTCAATAATATGAAGAAAATTCCTTAGATTCTCAACCATTTTTTTAAATTTACACACAAATACTAAATAAACAACCCGAATGAAATTCAAAAGTTTTACTTCGAACACCATATTCTTGCAATACCGGGGGTATTTCAAGAGTCAACTGAACACGATGCATTCCCCAGTAACGTGTTGCAAAAATGTTGAAAACACACCTTTTCATTTTACAATCTAAAGTAATACACATGTAAATACATTTATATAAAATTTTTGACCCTCTGTCAAATTAATCATTGATCCTATTCTCATTTTCTCTCTCAGAGTAAAGATTCCGTTCTCCATTATTTGAGATTTGAACTTATTTAAACATATTTTGAAAGATAACATGTATATATAACACAGCATATAGGTTTCTAAACGCACCCTCAAATAAGATTAATTTTCACATCAGTCGAACTTATTGGATGGTGACTCCAATTGTTTGTATTTCAATACATCAGAAATACCATGAACAAGGAGGGAAAGATAGAGAAAACTAAATCTGTATTTTCGAAGTCGCAATTGATTTGCGAAGTAGATATTTATTATATTCATGGTTTGTCCCAACTTTCAAATCATATCAAAATAGCCCGCAGCAATAAACCATTCCTGAGTTCTATATTTTTGTCAGGTTGACACTTCAAACGCATGTCAAGTAGCCCATAACAAGCACTTTAGCATTTGAAGTTTAAATCTTGTCAGGGATTTGACCTCCAATAAGTGATTTTTGTTTTGATGAGCTACATTGTAGGTTTTATATTTCAGATTTCGTTCTTATATTCATGTTCTTATTTTTTAATTACTAGTGAGCATATGTGGATAAATCTAAACAACTTTAATAGTCCAAGAAGAACTGGGTTATACATGAATTTTAGTATAAATTATAGATAAACAAACTGAAGAGCAATGTAGTCCTTTTCATAAAGAATCTTATAACTAAGAAGAAAATTTGATATATATGTAATTTTTTATTGTATAAAAATATTAACTTTTTTCTTGAAAATGTTTACTCAGTAACCTAATGTAATTATGGAAAAATAATTTTTTGTTTAAAATACCTGTTGAGGAATGGATATGACTAGAAGATATGGCGTAAAAGAAGTCGACCATGAGTTATCGTTCATATAATGAGTTATCGTTCATAAGATGCGTAATACGTCATCACTAGAGACCAATTCACTCGTACATGGAATATTCCACCTGCACTAAAATAAACATATCCTTGAGGAATGGGGAAGAAATTTCTTAAGCGTAAGATTCTTTGTGAAAACGACCACAGAATGATTAAAATAAAAATTTTCACAAAATCAAAACTTTTAAAAATGTAAGCGGTCTTAGTACCCTCGATAATTCTACCAAATTTGGTTCCTTGCTTTAAAATCTGCTGATAAGGTAGATATATATACATGCTGTATTTGCATGTATATATTCCATCATGCAATGTCTCTGTTTTTCTTTATAGTTACTTTGGGCGATCCTGATTTATTTCCTACTCAGAATGACTGCGCCAATGTGTTCTGCAAAGCCAATAATACAAACCACGAGTGCTGCTCTAATCAGTCCCCGGGGTCAGGCGGATCTGACACATCGTTCATGTAAGTTATCTTCTCAATAAGTTCAAAAGATTTAAATTGGGGGAATTATAGAAAAACACACTACTTTTCCAAAACGAATGGTATCAGTTTGTACAAATTTTATGCACATTATACAAATTATCACACCTCACATAAGAAAGTAAAGATTATGCTTTTTTGACAGAAAACGGCTTCTTCAATAATGGAACACAAAAATATTTCATTCTTGTGAATTTTCACCCACGAAATTACTTCAGTGTTTTAATCAATCTGATTTTTCAAACAGGTTCTTTGAAGTTGATGTTATATTATGCTGTATGTCCTCACTGTCAATATATATGCAGTTTTTGGTCTTTAAACAGTATGATATACTATACCCTTTATTAACTGTGGTTCCCCCTCATTTTTATTAAACAGAATTTAATTTAATCGAGGAAAAATCTGGCTGTGGTCTTCAATTTGAGCTTTCTAAACAAAAAATAGATAACATTGTGACATTTAACTCTGGACACGACAATGTCCAGACTTTTTGCTACCATTTCTAATTTTGATGTACAAATAAGTTTATAACAGTTGGTGGGATTTCTTAGCATCATTACATGGTGTCATCTTTAACTCACAAACATGTCTACTAGTATTTTAGAAAATATGAAATTTTAAAAGTCAGACCCCTATCAGAGAATGGTGGGATTTTTAGTCCTATCAACTATCCCACCTATCTACAATGAGAGAAAAAAGTGTCAGATGGGATATTTTCTCCTATTAGGACTTTTTTCCCAACAAATGTGTTCAAATGGGATAAATCCCACGGATTTTGACAATGAGACATTATCCCCCATACATTGTAAATATGGGATATACCGCTTATATTACGATAATGATATCTCATTTATCAGAATCTATGGAAAATGTTCCCTTTCTTATTTTTTTTTTCGTTTTAGATCAAAGGTGTTGTACTAAAACAGAGTTATAATTGCCTAATTCATGTAGAAGAAAGTAAATACAGAAAGAAAAAAATCATGGAAAAAAAACTTTTTCCATTTTAAAATTCACATTTATTATCGTAAAAGATCTTGAATTCTAATTGGCAAATATACCTGAAACCAAAGTAGAAAAGGAATTTAAGCAATTTAAGATAATTAAGCTATAATGTGAAACAAATACTGTAATAAATATGATATGGAATACACGTCTCAAGAGGAATCTCTTGGTTTTTTTTAAATTAATTTTTTTTTTGCTATAATTAATGAGACACTTTTTTTTTATTTAATTAATGTTATTAAAAATCTGTTATTATATTTATTCTTTTTTCAGACACTCCACAACAGCCGCTGTTTTCTTTGTTGCTGTGATAGGATCACTTATAACTATTGTATTTCTTATGTTTTTCTGTAATAATTGTGGGAAAATGTGCAGTCGACTCTCAAATAAAAATAACCAATCAAACTCAGGTATATTTATATGTTTCTTAATTATAATTATTAACTGTATTATAGATTTTATATAGTATTAAATACATGTAATCTTAATTTATTCATATTTTGTTTTCAGTAATAAAAAAATTCTTTCAAAAGTTTATACGATAATGTATAACCTCTTCAAGCAAGAAATTCTAACCACAAAAAGAATTACATACACATATACGTGATTAGATAATAGATGTTGCCAAAAAGAGCTCCTTTGTGTATAGAAAGCTCAGTTGTATTGAAATCAAGAGAAAGTTAAATTTTAAGGACAGATGATACAAAAAAAAAAAAAAAAAAATGGATGCCTAGATCGGTATATATTTTTTGGCTTAAGGATATCCGATCCTCAGCCAGGAAGGATAACTCCAAAAATTAATATTTAATTTGAAATACATCAAAATGAAGCTTGAAAATGAAATTTTTTCATGCAACAATTTCCATTTTATTCATCTTTATAAGATTCATGGTTTTTGAAAGTCTTAGAAAAAGTCTTATAAAGTTGACATTTGTACCCTATAAAAGGAAAAAGTTAATACAATTTTAGAGAAATAAGATTTTCTTAAATCCAGACTTTGATACCAATGCTTATTAGGAATATATTAAATAAGAAGTGATTGGTGGTGTCTTGCAATGATACAAAAGCCTTTTACAATAAGTATTAGAGAATATATGGCGGAAATAGAAGACAAAAAATACCAAATAAGTATAAAAATCATGACAATTTCTCTGAATGCCTGGATACCTATCGTATTTTAACCTAAACTGTATTTGTTGATCAATTTGCAACTAGAAAATGCATTGCTAATATTCCAATTCGCTTTTCCTGCAAAAATATCTGAGATTTGACAATTTTTCCTATGTAATATGATTAACTTTAATCTTTAACTTTAAAGAAATACTGTGGATAAATTTACATAACTTTGTGGATTCAGAGATACTTTCATGAGTATCTTTGACTACTTAACTGCTAATTTTATATACCTGAGGATCGGACAACCTTAATTTCATTGCAAATGATGCAAATAACAAATTTCTAGAATATAAAGAAATTGTAAACCTACTGTGATGTTCAAAAGGCTGCCTTTCTAAAACCATCCTTATAAATCTATACAAATATTTTTCACTTTAAATCTCATTTTTGTGAAATTAAGAATAAAAAATTAAAAACTACGCGATGAAACTTATTCATTTCACTCGTTTAAACATGACCCAAGTTGTTATTTTCAAATTTTTTGACACAAGTTTGTTTGCATCATCAGTCCTTAAACACATCTTAATACTTTGCACCATATTATTTAGAAATCCTGATTTTTTTTCATTTGTTTTTCTTTAGGACAAAATTCAGCTGTAAGAACTGTTTCGGCCGGTGTACAGACCAATGCAGTAGATATACCTCCCCCTTACGCTCTCCAAGACCAGTATCATAGGACAAGAAGCGATGGTGCAGTTGTGGAACTTGAAATACCAAGGTGCCCCTCCTACGTAAAAGACCCCCCTCAGTATCAGGAAACTATATCTGGTACATGTATCTGTAGTGTGCATTCAGAAGTGGAAAATAGGACAATAGAAAATGCTATTGAATTTTCGGCTAATTCTGTTGTGGATGCTTAGATTTAATTTAATCTTTAAAATAAAGATTTAAATATTAAGACTGAGTTTAAGGATATTGCATATGTTTTAATTAATACACACATATTAATTGTGAATAAATTGTTATTTCAAAACTACCCGGTATAGTAAATATGTTTTTATGTATGCTTGAAACAATTATTAAGAACACTATACTTTATTATGTATGATACATTTCATCTGACAATCATATTGTTTTATTTAAATTCATTCATATCAATCAATTTATACATACTTCAATAATATTCACAAACATTTTGTCTCTTATTTTTTGCTTCAGACAGTGAAGCAAATGCTATCCATTTTCATCCGTCTCCCTTGGGCTGTTAACTTAGAATTATTATAGGTTGAGGAAGTAAATAATAACCATAGTGATACATAACATTATACTCAGAGTTAAAGAAATTTTTTGAGAAGAAAAAAGGCTTTTCAAGTTGTCAAATCAATAAAATTATCCAATTTAGGCCACACCAATAAAAATTTTTGTTCGTCGGACCCGCGCGCTCGTATTTAAACAAAACTATACAAATAATATTAATTTAAGATCCCCGCACAATGGGAATTCTATGCTGTTTCTGTCCCATTTCCGCTCTATTTATCGTACTTTAAATCTACTTACTCTGCAAATCAGAAAAAAATATAATTCTCCGCTCAGATTTTTTCACGCCCCGCCTAAAAATTTTGCCTACAATAAAGTAATAATATTATTATTTAACCGCTAGCCCGATCGTCCTTTTTTCATCAAATGTCCGACGAACAAGAATTTAAATTGGTGTGGCCTTAGTTTAAATTTGAATTGATTTAATTTAGATCAACTCGGGGAACATCTTAGATCTCTTACAATTGTACAAGGAGTAGATAAGACTTGCCCTCTGATACACGGGTGCCGTTAAAGCACAAATGTTCCTTATTATAAAAATGATATGATATTTACCACTTCTATCATGTGATTACTGTGTTCAAATCTTATGTCATGCCATGCTGACACTTTTTGCATTCTCAACGACGTTATCAATATATGTATATGAAGGGCACGGATTCAATGCACATGTATTTCATTTATTAGTTTTGTAAGTCTTCTATGTAAGCAATCGAAAATTAGCATTTATACGTGCATATCATTGTAAGTCAGAATATTTATTTTGTTAAGACAAATCTTTTATTTTGATAGATGCACATTTATTCCTACATTTCGAGATGGATTAAGTATAAGATGATATGTATGGAGAGGACTTATATACATGTTTAAGCAGTGCCTGCTGTCCAATCCTTTTATTAATATTCGTAATTAAATATTGTTTAAATTAAACTAATAAATATTTCCTTTAGTTATTATTATTTATTATTATTCAACTTTTATATAGCGCCTTATCTAATTATGTAATTATCCTACAGCGCTTTACAACAAGTACAATATAAAACAAAAGACGAGTACAATATAAAAATCAGAATGGTAAAATCATGTGGCATTAAAGTTCCAGTCAATAGTCTTCAAAGCTTCTTTCTCTACTCCTCACTAAAATATTAATAGCAATGAAGGAGAAACTTCGGGAGTACTCTGCAACAATATACTAGTATTTAAAAAGTGGTGTAAATCAGATGTGGATGCTAAGAAATTCCAAGTACTTTTGGAAATTTCGCAATCAAAATTTTAAACAAAAGCAATAACATGAAAACTTAGGACTTTTTAGCTGAAGTCCAAGGTTTTTGACACCATTGACTGCGTTTTTCGATAAAAATGGTTATTTGCAAAATCATTTTGTTAAAAACATTTCCGACTGTACTCTAAAGTTGATACTAATTTAAATAGATGCTTGAGTTTCTGGTTGATAATACTTATGGCGTCTTTGGAGACCAGGTATTTCAAAAATCTGTGGGAATTCTTACGGGTATTAATTTTTTTTTTCATATGAACAAAATTCATTTAAAATCTTACACATGAGAAGGTAAAAACGCTTGCTGTGGCATCAACTCGACATAGATGTATGGTCGACGTATTATCAATTGAAAATACCGATAGTTATTTCCATTCATATGCCGACTCGATACATATAAGAGACTTCCCGTTTGTGGCTTTTCCAACCATATAAAAAGACGTCACCATAAACAGGTGAAGGGCCTCAAATTTAGTTCTTTATTCGGCACACCATCACCCTCCCCCATGGAGCAGTCATGATTCTAATGTACCAACGTCTACCGTGTTGTTGGGTCTCGTTTTTTAAGGTCTCATCCGAAGGACCCATAAGTTTAACTTCAGAGTGCCGAGCGATTGGCGAAGAAACAAGTAATACTTATTTTTTCGACTAAGGTCAGTTACGGTCATGATTCAACACATGACTATTCGATCAGAGAGCAACCACTCTACCTACTGAGCTACTATAAATAAGGGAAACACATTAAATTGCACCTTGTGGTAGTTTTTATTTTGAGTACATTTAATTAAGAGCATCTTTTGTAAGTACAAAACATTAATAATGCATTACTCATAATACAGAAGCCACTATAGAAGCTATTATAATTCAATCAACAGATATTAATAAACAAACATTTGATAGGTTTTAAACCAAATTAATGTAGTGTGATGGAATTTAGGTAAAGATGCTGTACACTGTTCCTTAACAATGTAAATAATATATAGAGAAATGAATGTCAGTATCAAGCATTTATATTTACTTATCGCAACCAACTTATTTTTAGAAGAAGAACCAGAATTTTTAAAAAGACTGCCCACAGTAAAGTCTACCAATATTGCAAGTCTGACACTTGGTCAATTGATCTACATTTTTCACATGATCCTAACGCATCAGACTATTCTGTTAGAATAGGCAATTCTGAAAGCCATACAGAGCTGAGGTTTCATTTTTTTCGGTTACTCTTTGTCCAAATATTTTTTTCTATTGGCAAAATTTTGACAAGTTTTTATTTAATCACCCCCACCCCCGAAATATTATCCTTAATATTTTTCACTAATTGTTAATTATAAATGGCAGGTATATAGATAAACATTTATGTCTCGACTTTGTTAGAAATTATAGCATATAATATAGGTTACATGAAAAAGTCCAAAGAATCAATTATACGAAATTCTTACATTCTTGCAGTCTAGGAAAGTTATTTGGAAGACAAAGTTACAAAAACCATCCTTCTCAAATTTTGAAACCACAGAAGATGGAGTAAGGTGCTTTTGATTTGTTGTCTCCTCTACTAGGATAGCTTATCCAAACTTGATCCCCCATAGCCAACCGGATAACAGACATTTTACTGCACGGTTGTTGTCCAAGACTTCTCTTTGTATCGCAATGATTTAGTGATTTTGGAACTCTGTTTACCGTTAAACTCGTGGTAGTGATCGTCTGGTAGCTAGGTAGTATATGCCAACCGAAGAAGTAGAGTCCATCTGTGGGCACTGTGAACTTGCCCGTAGTACTGTCATAGGCATTACCGACATTAAGGTTGACGCGATCAAATCTTATTACAGAACCACTAGAACCTGTGAATTCCATGCCCGGTGCAGATGAAATTTGTGCCTCGAAAGCAATTTGGTTTGAATTGTCTGTAAGAATAAAATTGTTGTTTTTTATATACTAGTATACATTGTACAATTTAGGTTACTTATCCTTTTTGAAACCAAATATTCATTTGATTTATAGTTTATAATTTCCAAGGTTTTTATTTTCAAAGCTTATGTAAACTCTTCCTATGCAATTTTTAGTTAATTCATCTAGTTGCTGACAACAGGATACACTATAAAAGCACTTTAATTTTTCAACATACCGCTGAAAATATTTTCCGTTCAACATTTAATTTGAAAAAAAAAAACAATTTGTTGTTAATCATTTTAAATCAAAACTTTATTTCATAATTATTTGATTTTCATTTTGTACTTTGTCTTAAATATGCTCAGAAAACTAGTATTCTTACCCGTTTGATTTGCCATTAGACTTGCAAATTTTGTATCAACTAATTCGTTTATTGAGTTCATTGATGCAGTGTTTTCGCTCACACTCAATTTAAGGTCGGCGATCTCTTTAGCTCCGATCCTTATGGTTTCAGCTATTTCCTTTCGTATGTCCTCATTGTCTTTCTTTAAAACTGCCATATCCTCTTCTACACTTCTTAGTTTCTTCTCTAGTTCAATTCTTATCAGTGTCTCTTGATTCAGAAGAAGTTGTTGGATAGAGGGTGGAGAAACCCCTGTTACGGTTCTGTTGTTATTTTGCCCATTATTGCAGGAAACAAAGACCATCAATGACATTACAGTAAGTGCTTTTAAAGAGGACATATTCGAAACGACTATGTGTCGAGTTTGAGATTTCATCGGCCGTTGCTTCTCTTTATAAATAAGAATATTCTGCATTCATTAACCCCTTTTTATGGAAAGTGACCCTTTATGAAATATACGAAAGTGAAACTCAAACGTTAAACACTGTTTCGTTTTCGTCTCTAATTCCAAGTAAACAATGTCGAAATCTTAAATATGTCTAAGACCTAAAAAATAAATACTACTAGTATTATTGCCCAATACACATGAATTCTCTCTGTTCCCCTTTTCTTACTGTTCTATTTTTCCGGTTTCATTTTTTCGTATCCCTAAAAATGTTTCTGTTGTTTTATTAATTAAGTAATCTAAAATGTGGTCAAATCTGAGTTAAAAATTATAGGACAATATTGTTTTTAGTTTATATACCCGGTATATTTCATTAGAATTGTTATTGTTGATAAATTTGAATTTGAAAAATATATTGATAACAGTATATTGTTTTATACTTTAAACATACGTTAAATCTTTAACATCATTCGGTACTTATTCATGCATGAGTACAAATAATAACGAAATGATACTGGCAGGCGCGTCGCCCAGTATAAAAAGGCGTCACTCCTTTGAGTCTATAAGGGACACAGACTCAAGGAGTTCATTTGGTGCCCCTCGGATTATCCTCAGGGATATTAAACATATGTCATATGTGCAGTCTTCAGATTCCCAGTTTTGGTATAAAACCAATACGTCATATACCAAACTGAAAGAGTGTAAAGTTTCTATTACAAATATATTGGATGATTCCTTTTGCGATCCAATGTCTACGGTTTCAAAATGTTCTGTGCGAAACTGTAAAACCTGTGACATTTTGATAACTGACACTTCTTTCACCAGTAATCTTACTGGACAGAGCTTCTATACCAAAACTTGGGAAAATCTGAACTGCAAATCTTCTAATGTTGTCTATGGAATAGAATGTAATCTGTGTGGACTTATTTATGTCGGTGAAACCAAGGGATCGCTTAACAAAAGAATATCAGGTCATCGATTTCAAATAAATCATGGTGGTCAGCAGCTTTTATATAAACATTTTAATTCACCTGATCATTCTATTTTATCAATGAAAGTTAGAATTCTGGAAAAGATTTATCACCACACAAATAGTCCATCTTTGAGTACACCTTTCCGTAGACAACGTGAAGAAGTTTGGATTAGGAAACTAGGGACAGCCTTTCCCTATGGATGTAATGACAATGTCGATAGTGTTGGTAATCTTACAAGCCCACAGTGTAATAATGTAAATGTGATGGGACTTTTTAACAATACTCAGAGACGTAAGCGTAGTCATGGACATCGTTCGTACAATAAACCTGCAATACACGACGTCTCTTTTGAGTCATTACTACCTTATGTAAATCAACAGTTAGGTCTACATCATATTCGAACCAAACTTTACTCTGTCCCTTTGAAACTTTTAAATAGTCTTCTTGAAAAGACCAAGGAACATCCAAATTTAGATTCCTCGACACCTGAATATAGGCTCGGTTCTGTGATCATGGATATTGCACATCATAGGCTTTTTAAACCCGCACGTTTCACGGAAGAAAATGCAGCTAAAACAATCCGTCTTTTCCTTAAACTTCAATATGCCAATAAAGGAATTGACGCGGTAAATATTAGTAATATTCTTAATCACAAAAGGGTCCAGTCTTGTATTCCACCATATTTCAAGTTAAAGACTACGCCTTGTATTTCCTACAAATATACATCGACCATTGCTTCCAAAGTTTTTAATTACAAAAATACTTTACATGGCCTGGATATCGACTATCTGAAAAATAATCCCCTTTCGTGTTCATGTTCTTCTTCGCCCTATAACTATAATCCTGCTGGACACGTTATTACAGGTGACGTAAATATAGTTCGTAATGAGGACCTTAGATCACTTATTTTAAAAGGTCCTAAATATAGGAAACCCCGAACCTTCAACTGGCGTCGGAATTTCATAAATATTATGGATTCTGTTGAAAATTACGCCAGACGATGGGCTAGATATGAAAAAGAAGACATTGACACCTTGTCAGAATGGATTAAATGTATCAGATCCATGTTAAAGTCACGTATTAAAAGATTGAGGGGCAAAATGAAAACCATCTATCCTTCTGTGTTCAATAAACCAGAAGTGAAAAAAGAATTAGATAGATTACACGATCAGTACGTACTGGTTCCTGCCGACAAAGCAGGTAACGACATTGTCTTCGTTTGTAAGGCTCATTATATAAATTGCATTTTAGAAGAACTCGGATTTAATTCTACAAGTGGTAATCCTACTTATACATATACTACTCTTTCTAAGGAAGAAATTCTTCAAAATCACCTGTCAGTTTTGAATACTTTTAATATTCCACAGAGCCAAAATGAATTTGAACTACCTTATATATATTGGATTCCGAAACTTCATAAGAATCCTTACAAACAAAGATACATTGCAGGTTCCAGTAAATGTTCAACCAAGCCTCTTTCGTTACTTCTCACTAAAATATTGACAGTAGTGAAGGAAAAACTTCAAGAGTACTGTACAACTATATATTCAAGAAGTGGTGTAAATCAGATGTGGATACTTAAAAATTCTAAAGAACTTTTGGACAATTTGAAATCACAAGACTTTACAAAAATCAACAGCATAAAAACTTACGACTTTTCAACTTTATACACAACAATTCCGCACGACAAATTAAAATCCAGGCTTTTTGATATCATTGACGGCTGCTTCTTCAACAAAAATGGAACTCGTAAGTTTACTTACCTCGTCATTGGTCATTTGAAAAATTATTTTGTTAAAACAGATTCTGATTGCACACATAAGTACTCTGAAGTTGACATCAAGAAGATGCTTGAGTTTCTGATTGACAATATCTATGTGGTTTTTGGAGACCAGGTATTCCAACAATCTATTGGAATTCCCATGGGTACAAATTGCGCTCCGTTATTAGCAGACTTATTTTTATATTCATATGAAGCAGAATTTATGCAAAATCTTTTGCGTGAAAAGAAAAAAACACTTGCTGTGGCCTTCAACTCGACATTTAGATATATCGACGACGTATTGTCAATTAATAATGATAATTTCCATTCCTACGTCGACACGATTTATCCTGGTGAGCTTGAGATAAAAGATACCACAGAGTCCGACACTTCTGCTTCATACTTGGATATTTTACTTGAAAAAGACACAAATGGTAATCTAACAACCAAGCTATATGATAAACGTGATGACTTTAACTTTTCTATCGTCAACTTCCCGTACTTATGCAGCAATATACCGTCATCACCTGCATACGGAGTATTTATATCTCAGTTGATTCGATACGCTAGAGCATGCTCTACGTATGAACAATTTCTTAAACGAGGTAAATTATTGACAAGCAAGTTGATGAAACAAGAATATCAACAGTCTCGTTTAAAGTCATCATTTCGTAAATTCTATGGTCGATACAATGACCTTGTCAGCAAATACAATTTATCATTGAATGAAATGCTGACTGACGTTTTTCATACCAATTGTTAGTCCATTATTTATACACTGAATTGACCACGGATTTTTTTCCGTTATTTCCTGATTATGACAACGAGCACACGGCGGGTGTGACCGGTCGGCAGGGGATGCTCACTCCTCCATGGCACCTGATCCCACCTCTGATGTTTCGGAGGTCCGTGTTTGCTCTGCTCTTATTTTGTATATTTGTTTAATGGACGTTGAGATTGAATACTGTTCGTTATTTCCATATCCATCTTTAACATCATGTAAATATTACAGAGGGATGAATGATATTAATGAAAAGAAATCAGATGTAACTTGAATATAACTGAGACCTCGCTGCTACCTCGTTAAAACATCTAAAAAAATCTTGTTTAAGCCACAAAAGAATTAATTTTGAGAAAAATCAAGTTATTTTGCAAAAATCATGAAAATACCCCGGGAAATATTTTTTTCGCTGAATCCACTTAGACGATTTTTAAGCTTGAGTAATAGACCTTGACCTGAACCAGTTCAGCCCATACATTGTCACTAGAACCTCAGCCTATCCTGCAAAAAATGTTCTCGGATAGCCACAGAATGAAACGCTAAATTGGCACCAAAACAGGAATAAACCTCACCCAGCATCGCAAAATCAAAAGAGATCTTCTAAAAATTTGTTTAACGATAAAATCTCTCTAAAATTTTTTATCAAAGATTAAGTACATCTTCATTAAATGTAACGGGCTTGAATGCTTAATAAAAAGAAAGACATAAGGGGAAAACATAACTGTAGTTTAATGATAATAATTAAACATCATTTTTTTTTCAAGAGATGTTTTTTTTTCAAACAAAAAAGTAATGTGCATGTATCTTTTAAATGGTCGATAGGTTTTGAATTATATCGGATAAATGACAAAGTTCTCAAGCTTCTTAAAATTAAATGAACAAAATGAATAAAAAGTATAATGTGTAAAAAAGAAAATTAAAACGTGGATTTTTAAATTATGAATTCATGAAAATAATATTAACCTTGCAGAATATTTGAAAATGATTTATAAAAATATAAAAAGGACAGTTCAAATTCAACAGGTAATAAAAATCAAATGTAATACAAATCAAAATAGAAGATCTGCTCAGAAACGGAGGAGAATACAAAGCAAAAAGAATTCACTGGTGTGGTTAGAATAGTAGAAATTTACTTAAAACCAGAATAAGGTTTGATTTTTTAAAAAATCATTTTGAGCTTGATATTCTCAGAAAGGGTTTAAACAGGCAAGGCATTTAGTATCGTCTTTCGATTAGAATAATCTACTAGTATTCAATGAATATAAAAAAAGGAGGTCAAAGTAAATGGAAACTTAATACCCAGCTTTTAAGAAATTTCACAAATTAAAATACTCTATTTAGTGATAACACGTACCATAAACATTTTTAAAATGTCATTGATAATCAAGAAAGATTGGTAAAGGTTAACAAAACTATGTACTTGGTTAGTTTATTTTATACCCAGGAGCGGAAGAGAAGATTTTAAATAAATAATGTATTTTCACTATATAATCAATTAAGCCCCGCCCTAAAACAAGATCCCTGACCTTGGGGCCATGAAATTCACAGTTTTGGAAGAGACATTCTTGTTCATCATAACTATGTCCATAGTTCATTGGTCTAATACCCAGGAGCAGAGGAGAAGTTTTTAAAATAATTTATGCATTTTTACTATATAATCAATAGGCCCAACCCTTATACTAGAACCCCTGACCCTGGGGCCATGAAATTCACAATTCTGGAAGAGGCAGCCTTATTCAACATAACTAGATACTTGGTTAGTTTATGACATATCCAGGAGCAGAGAAGAAGATTTTCAAAGAAATAATGTATTTTCATTATATAATCTAAATTCCCACCCTAGCACAAGAACCCCTAAACTTGGGGCCATAAATTTCACAGTTTTGGTGGAGGACTCAATGCTGATTCCAATCATGCCAACAGTTTGACTGCTAGATGTCCAGGAGTACATAAGAAGATCTTTTTTAAAGATTGCATTAATTTTAGTTATTTTGGCCTCATCCCTCAGGCCCCCCCTCCGGGGGGGGGGGCAGGGACCATGGAATTCATAGTTTTTGTTTCCCTTTATCCATACATGCTATATGCTAAAATTGGTTGAAATTGGTTGAGCGGTTGCGGAGAATAAGCTGAAAATATACAAATGTTAATGCAAGCCGCACGGCTTGCACGGAAGAAAACAGATAACAATAGGTCACCTGAGTTTACTGAAAAGAAAAAAAATCCTTCAGTTGAATAAGACAATATCGTTTGAAAGTCAAACTAAATACTGTGAAATCACTATGACTCGTAGGGGTTGAATTTTCGTTGTTTTTCGAGGTATGAAGAGACCCACGAATTCATACCCACCACGAAATGTAAATTTTCATAGGCATAACTACTAAAGAATCCTACATCCAAGAAATCAAATCCCTACGAACTATTTTTTCCCCTAAAACCACGAAAATCTGACCGCACGAAGATATGTGATTTTATAGTGTATCATACTTTATAAGATTAGAGGGAGCAATTTAATCTGTAAATTCAATGCACAAAATCAAATGGAATTGAAGATACTATTGATTAGTTTGTTATATGCAATTTGTTAAAATTACTCAAACAAAACAAAGAACTATTGAAAATAATGTGAATATTTTGAGAATTGCAACTGTAATTAATCAGTAGAGAGATATATATGTGTGATGTTCTACATTTATAACCGATTTCCCAATGTTCACAAGCCATTGATCAAATGAAAAAAAAAACAAATAACGCAGATATGTTACTTATATATCTTCGCCATAAGAGTATAGATATCTATGAATAAATTAATTAATAAATACTAGGGATGTCAAAATATTAATTTTCCTTAGTCGAACATTCGATTGCATTATTCGAACAATAGTCGACTATTCGGAGCATTTTTTTATAGCACAGTGTTTTAGAAAGCTTATTGATTAAAATAAATTGGAAAATTGAAACAAATTGGAAATGGGGAATTGTAATACAGACTATCCACACCTCCGATGAAAATGATAGATACTCTTTGTTCATTAATGATTGCCCAAGCTATATATCAAAATGTCTTTTATGTAAGATTATTGTGTTAATAATCATCGTACTTTAAAACTTCACGGCTATGCAAATATTGTGTGTTCCCAAGCATTTGAAATTCCTAGAGTTTATAAATATAAATGGTAGAAGTCAATTAAATAATTTTCATAGTCCAGTATATAGCCTCGCATAATTTACTAGGTACAATAACAAAAAAGTCAGTGATTGAGAAATAATTATCGCGGTATGTAATTACTGTATTTTCCATATGTACAATGTAGAAAAATCATTTATATACTTTGACTGTGTTTGAGCTCTTATTCGTCTGAGGACATCCACTATACAGCTGTATAGTTTTGGGAAGGACCCTTTTTCAATTTTGAGATGAAAATTTCATTATCACCACCCTTTTCTTGCATTTATTTAATATTCGAATGTTGTTTCATTATTCGATCGTCGGTACATTCGACTGACAGTCGAATAGTCGACTATTCGTTGACATCCCTAATAAATACCAAGCCAAATAAATCAAAGGATGAAATATCTGTAAAAAAAAAAAATCTCGACTTTCCTCCATGTCAACTCAGTCAAAACAGGAACAATCTGACTTCCTTCTTTAAAAAAAAAACATTCGATTTTGTAGAACTTTATTTTCAATACTTTGGAAAAATTCAATGTTGGAAAATAAAATGATAAAACTTAAAGTCTGTATTTCGTGTAAAGACAATGGATGAAAGGAACCTACAAAATGAACAAAAGTGTGTCCAATTTTAGCACGTGAAACAATGATAACCATTACGAGTAATGGTTTAACAAATAATCTTATTTTAAAAGTTTAACAATCCATTAACATCAATTATCTTTTTTACTGGCTAAGGTAATATATGTACATGTATAATTTTTGTAATTTACGAAAGTGAAACTAAAACGTTCACTTCTGCTTCTCTGTTTCATTTTCCTACCTAATTCCAAGTAAATGTATACAGCCTATTAACCTTAAACTATGTGAAATAGTTTTTTAAAAATGCAATTTGAAAATGTACTTTAGCTTATTCAATTTCTTACAAACATTCAACAAACATTTCAACATTCTTGCAAAACATTCCAAACATTTTTTTTCTGTTCTCTTTACTGTTTTTTTTTTTTTTGAATTGCTGACACTTGTATATTTAGTAACAAAAACATTATAAATTTAAAATCCCTTTTATATATGATATGGATATAATAATTATAAGCTTTAAAATACCCTTATTTTCACGATATATTGAGAAAATTAACATTTTTCAAGCTAAAATGTCTATTTAACAAAATACATGTAATCAGGAGCAGAGCAAACAGGGCCTTCAAATCAACAGAGGTGGGATCAGGTGCCATGGAGGAGTGACCATCTTTTGCCGAAAGGTCACAACCACCGTGTTCCTAGTCATGTTCGGGAAACATCGAAAAAAGACGTCAGTAATTCAGTGTGTAAATGATGGTCTAACAATTGGTATGAAAATCGTCAGTCAGTATTTGGCTTAATGATAGATTGTATTTGCTGGCAAGGTTATTGTAACGATCATTGAACTTACGAAATCATTACTTTAAACGAGATTATTGATATTCTTGTGATAACAACAGTCTAGATTTGAGTTAACATTTTGAAAAGTCTATGCTTGATACAATAAACACGTCAGCAAATAAAAGCATTTATTTAATTATATCGAAAAGTAATTGACATTTTTATACAAACTATTAAATTATTATTTCCACAATGAATTGCCTACAGATTTTTCCATTTACCCAACCATGACAAGAAGCACTAGGTGGATAAGGCCAGTCGACAGGAATGCGTACTTCCAAATAGCACATGAACCCACCTATGACTGATTTATGAAGTGAAATGCGATCCGATTCTAGTCATTTTAAAATCGAAATAAATTTAAAATAAATCATGATATTTAAAAATTCGAAATTCATTTTATATGAGTTTATTGTTGAAATATTGCTACAAAATTTGGATACAATGTATGTTTAGTAAATAAAAATCAAACCTTCACTAACCATCCAGATATTTGAATATTTGTTTGAATTATTTTAAAAATGTTATTCCTCCATAGAACTTTCCTTATAAATATGTATTGCATTAGTTAGTTTAATTAATAGCCTGTACTACAAATTTGCACACTCGTCAAATTATAAACATATATATATATATATATATATATATATATATATATATATATATATATTAGTGATAAAATTAAATGGAAGTTAAACTTCCGACAATCAAAAAAATGTTTGTTCCTGATTCATCCTAACAACAAGATTAAATGAAAAGAAATTTCAATGAAATTTTCAGAGGGCCTACATCTGTCATACTCTTCATAATTTAAAACCACAGAAACTGGAGAAATAAGATTTTGCTCGATTATCTCCAGGGCGAGGATAGCCTATCCACACCTTATCTCCGACAGCTAACTTCACCACAGACATTTTACTGCAAAGTTGTTGACCTGTATTCCTCCTTGTGTTACAATAATTTCCTGATATCTCATTATTATTTACTATCAAACCCGTATGTGAAATGCTCTGGTAACCAGGTAAAATGTGCCATCCAAAGACATATAACCCATCCCTCGGGGCTATGAATATGCCTGTTGAACTATTATATCCATTGCCGTCATTAAGGAGGACTTGATCAAAAAGTACCACGGATCCCTGATTACCTTTGAATTCTAAAACAGATGTGATCCGCGCCTCGAATGCTATCTGATCTGAGACATCTGTAAATACATGTAATAAATAATTTTAAAGCATTTTATAATTATTATTATTTTGTTTGGCATAACAAAACAGGATATGTGAATGCTCTTTCTCAGTTAATGTGAAAAAAATATTTGAGCCCCAATATCTTTTTTTTATTTTCTAAGGTAATTCTTTATAAAAACCCATTTTTTAATATATTATATGCAAGCACGTCCGTCTCAAAGATCTTATTTTATTGTTAAACATACTGTGCTGCAAACAAAGCATGTTCACAATATGTGTCAATTAAATTGATACTACGATTTTTAAAATGTCAATAACTTTTTTGAAAAAAAATGTTCACAGCACCAAACAATGAAAAATGATTTCTTTTTTTAATTTAAAGTTGCTATAAAATTTGTACTTCTTACCTGTAAAGTTTGCTCTTGCATTCGCAAAATTTTTGTCCAGTAGTTCATTTGATTTAATTGATGCAATGCTTTCGTTAACATATAATTTAAAGTCGGTTAGCTTTTCTGTGTGGTCCCTCATGCTTTTAAGTAATTCCTGTCTTATACGAATGTTCTCTTTCTTTAGAACTGATAAATCCTTTTGAACACTCTGTAGGTTGTTCTCTAGCTGTATTCTTTTTAAAGTCTCTTGATTCAGAAGATAGAGGATAGAAGACGGACTCTCATTTACAGACTTCGAATTCTCTGTAGCATTGTTCCTGTTCCTGGTCTCTTGATTCTTTAGAAGTGACTGGATTGTGGGCGTGTCTCTTCGAAGATAATTTAAATCCTCTATAGCATTGTTTGTCATCCTGGTTCCTTGATTCGAGAGAATTTTTTTGACAAAGGGCCTTTCTATTGTTGAAGACTTCGAGTCCCTTGTATCATTTTTGATACTCCTGGTCACGTTACTGAGAACAAGCTGTTGTATGGAGGACGTGTCCACGTTTGGAGACATCGAATCCTGGGCTGAGTTCTTTGTAAATTGCGCATAATTATGCTGGACAAATATCACTATTGCTATAGGAATGAGAGCGTTTGAAGGGGACATATTAACAGGAAATTTGATTTATAACTGTGACTTCTCTATATAAAGGAGATTAATCTGCATAATTTAAGCTATTTCATAGTCTATGTACCAAATGTTTATTTTACGTAATTTATTTTTTTTTTGTATTTGATTTTCTACAACGCATCTGCTTTTTGTTTTTGTAATATATTTAAGCGCTTGTGAATGATACAAAAGTTTTTAGCAAGGAATGGGCTCTTTAATTTAAATTTTAAAAGATTTGTTTTCATTAATCTTTTTTGCGTCGTTTTAAACATGTGATTGATCATATCTGTAAATTTTCGGTGACTTTTATTTTCTTCTAAATTCCTCTAAATTTTCGAATTACAAATTTAAAATGACTCATATTTTTTAAATGAAAAACATCATTAGATAAGATGAAACATCATAGGTGGGATCAGGTGCCAGGGTTTTTATGAAAATCAAGACTCTATAATTGCACTAAAATTAATTTTTACAATCCTTTAATCAAGAGCAATTTCTTTTAAAATCATTTGTATTTGTTGGGAGTTGTGAGTTCATAGAGAATTTATTTCATATGTTTTACATGTAATCACAAAGGCAATATTTAATGGTTTTGAACATATTTTTTCCGATCATATACTAGTCTACAAATACATTAATGTCGAACGGACATTTATAAATGCTATTTTATTTGAAACAAGTTATTATACTAACTCTTACAGTGGACTTTTATGGATGGTTCAGTGAATATTGCACTGAAATTTTCATTGAAATGGGATATTTACATACTTACAGTTAATTTATTTATGTTTTATACATGCTTTATAATGCATATGCGTACGTTTGGATAGACATAATATACGCATTGAACATGGGGGAGTAGGTTTATCCCCCCTCACACCACTTTCAACCCGCACGAAATAGAATTTTCGTGTTTGGATAGTAACATTTCCCTTTTTAGCTTGTCAAGTTTTTTTGTAGGTTTGAATGTTTTTCTCTTTCGCCTAGCCCCCCCCCCCCCCACACACACACACACACACTTTCAATCTGCTTCTGACGCCAATATAATGTAAAGATATGTAGGCTAAATAGTTTTAAGTCCCTGTGCATTTTGAAGACGAACTTAATTTTGTTCTATATTTTTTTCATTAAAGTGTGCATGTACCTTATGTGTCTACTCTACTCTTGCAATTGATGATTTGTGGATATGTTAGGGACATTTGTTTCAAAAATGATTGAAAACAATGATAGTTTGTTACTTGTTACTTGTATTATAGAATATCAGCTGTTCAACAGAGGTTTATAACTTTAGCAAATCAAAATTTTCATGTTTTTTATTTCATAACGTCAAGATTATCAATAAATTAAATGAAGGTTTTCATACAGTTAAAGTTATTACTATACTAGTAAATAATCAAAGTTTTCATAGTGATTACTTCAGAAAATCAAAGTTTTCATTTTATCACTGTAGAAAATCGAAGTATCAAAGTTAACACTTTATTAACATGTAACTATTCTTTTCATTTTAAAGTTATTACTTTAACATAGTACATTTAGACTATAGCTAGCTATATAGTTATATAAAGTAGTTTTAAAAGGGTTGTGTATTTATTTAAGGTTATGTGTAAATGGCTATTGTCATATAGTCCAGTTCAGATACTGATGTTGAGACTAGAGATGTAGCTTAGAAGAGGAACAAAAGTATTGAAAAAAATAATGATAAAACACTTCTATTAAAAGGTTGCGATAATTTTCATTTATGAATGAAGAAATATGAAAATAATTTGCATACAACATGTTGTAATGATTAATCAATATTTTTAATACTTGCAAATAAATTTATGCAAAGCATTCGATGAAAAGACTCTTTTATTTCTTTAGAATCAATGATTCGTGTCTTTCAGACAAATTCCACGATAAAATTTTTTAAGAAATTTTAATAAAGTTTTTCATTATAAATGCCTTCACTAAATTTTAAAACCACCAAAACTGGAGAAATAAGCTTTTGATTGGTTATCACCAGGGCGAGGATAGCCTATCCATACCATATCTCCGGCTGTTAACCGAACAACAGACATTTTACTGCACAATTGTTGACCAGCATTCTTTTCTGTATTGCAATAATTCCCTGATATTTCATTGTAATTTACAATTAAAGCTGTATGCGTTATCGTATTGTAACCAGGAAAAATGTGCCATTCAAAAATGTATGTCCCATTTTTTGGTGCTGTGAATTTGCCTGTTGTACTGTTATAACCTGCGCCATGATTGAGGAGAACTTGATCAAAAAGTACTACAGAACCCTGACCGCCTTTGAATTCCAATACAGAGGCAATCCGTGCTTCAAATGCTATCCGTTCAGAGTTACCTATATTCAAATAATACGAATATTCTGAAAGCATCTCTTATCAGTAAAAACATCTGACTTGAATCAAATCTGAATAGAACAAACAGTTCATATATTTGAGCATGTCCTTCATTAGATTTTTTTTTTCAATTTTTATGTACATTCTTCAGACAAATACATATGTACGAACTAAATGCTAAAAAAGACATTGAAGAAGATATTGTTTAAGCAATTTCAATGCATAGTTAAAATACTGAACCAAAATATTAAATTAAAACTTCAGTTTAAGAATATACAAGTATCCATCTAAGGCTCTTAAAAATGCCATACCCTAAGAGCTATTGAATTTCTATTGAGGAAGGAAATTGAAAATAAATTATTGATAATGTAATTCTTACCTGTAAGCCATGTCCTTTCACTTTTTCTTTGGTTTGATCCATCTTTTGAATATATTGATGCAATGGTCTTGTTCAAAATAGATTTAAAGTCAGATAGCTTTTCAGTTTGGACCCGCATATTGTTTAAAAATTCTTTTTTCATATCTTCAGTTTCTCTCTTCATCACTGCCAATTCGTCTTGTAGATTCTTTGATTTCTTCTCAAGTTCAATTCTAATTAAATTCTCTTGTTTTAGAAGAAGATGCATAATAAAAGGTGAGACCACATCCAAAGGCTCCAAAGGCTCTTCAACATTGCTGGTATACCTGGTCTCTGGATTCAGAGGACGCCGTTGAATAAATTCATCGTCCTCATTTAAAGGCTTCAAATTATCTACATTCAGACTGCTATTTTTCATCTCTTGATTCAGAAAAGTCTGCTGAACAGGGGACATTGACGCCTTTTCAATATTGCTGGCATTATTATTCTCCATATTCAAAAGAAGACGATGCATTGAGGGCTTGTCAATATTTTGCGAATTTGAATCCTCGGTAGTGTTGCTAATATTTCTTGTCTTTTGTTTAAGAGGAGACTTCTCAATATAGGATGTGTTTATATGTAGGGAATTCGAATTATTTGCGGCAGTGCTTGTATTTCTTATCTCTTGATTCAAAAGAAGCGGTTGGGTAAAAGGCATGTCAACTTTAGAAAACGTTGAATATTCTCTAGTGTTGCTACTATTGTCGGACTCTTCATTTAGAAGACTTTGCTGGATAGCAGGGGTGTCCATTATGGGATATGTCGAATCTACTGTGTCGTTTCTGATATTCGAAGTATTTGAATTAAGAGGAAGACTCGCTTCGGATGGCGTGTCTAACTTTGTAAAGATAGAATCTTCTGTAATATTGCTAGTATTCCTTATCTCTTGATTTAAAAGAAGCTGCAAAACAGAAGATGCCTTATCATTTAGAGAGGCTGAATCGACTGTAAGGTTGCTTGAATTCCTAATCTCTGGAATAAGAATAAACTGCTGGACCAGATGTGTGTCTACATTTAAAAGCATCGAATCCTCTGTGGCGTTGCTAAAATTCTTAGTCTCTTGATTTAGAAGCTGTTGGATAGGTGGTATGTTAAGTTTAGAAGATTCTAAATTGTCAGTAATGTTGGTATCATTATTGGTTTCAAGATTCAGAAGAGACCGTTGGATGTGCATTTTATCATGGGCAGATGAGTTATCTAATTCTAGAGCATTCAAATCATCTGTTGTGTTGCTAATATTTGATGTCTCTTTATTCGGAGAAAGCGTCTGTGAAGAAGCACTGTCATTTTTAAGAGACATAGAATCCTCTGTATTGTTGCTTGTATTTCTGATATCCTGTATAAAAGGTAGTTGTTTAGTGAAGGGCGTGTCGACTTTTGGCGAAAGCATAGCTCCTGTAACGTTTGTGGTATTCCCAATCTCATTTTTCCTTATCGGTTTGGGCTTAAAGGGAATATCTTCTGTAATGTTGCTGTTATTCTCCATTTTCTCATAGAGAGACAGCTGCTTCTGAATGGATGGCATGTCTACTTTCACAAACTTTAATTTTTCGGTAGTGTTATTAATATTTCTTATCTCCTGATTCAGGGGGAGTTGCTGGACAGAGGCGGTGTCATTAGTAAGAGAATTTAAATCTTCCGTTGTGTTGCTTGTATTTCCAGCAATTTGATCCAGAAGAAACTGCTGGGTAGACAAAGTGTCTACTTTTTGAGATGTTGATTCATCTGTTGCGTTGCTGGAATTCTTTGTTTCCTGATCCAGAGTAAGATTCAGAACCAAACGGTTATCGACTTGTACAATCTTTAAATCATCTGTAGTTTTGCTGGTATTTTTAATCTCTTGTTTAAGGAGAGACTGCTTTATAGCTGCAGTTCCATTTTTTGAAGTCTTTGGATCGTCAGTTGTGTTGCTTGTATTTCTAATATTCTGTATAACATGCTGCTGATTTAAGGGCCTGTCTTTCTTAAGCGAAATTGATTCCCCTGTGGCACTGAAGGCATTCCTAGTGTCTTTTTTCATTACAGGTTTGGCCATAGAGGGGGTGTCTGCAATTAAAGTGTTTGAACCCTCTGTAGCGTTACCGGTAACATTGGTCTCTTGATTCATAATAAGCTCCTGGGGAGTAGCCATGCTAACATTCAATACTTTTGGATCTTCTGTAGTGTTGCTTGTTTCCCCCGTTTCTTCATACAAAGGCAGCTTCTGAATCGAGGACATGTCTTCTCTCACAAACTTTAATTTCTCAGTAGTGTTATTAATAT